TTGTACGGTAACTTTGGATACGAAGTTAGTTGGTGACGGCTTTCAAATCGCTGTCTAATGATGGAGTGTCACGTATTAAAGTTTTTGCAGGGGGCTGAATATGACTATTTTGTGCATTTAATATGCAGCTCATGTAAAGCAATATATCACATTTTTTTATAGCTATTAAAGCATTAGTTGACTGCTTTTCCTGAATGTTTAATCCACTTATTGTGTGGCATTCTAAAAACAATGATTACTCACTTTTTCTATATGACTTTATTAATTTTAAAAAAAGTTTATTTAAGGTTTGATTATATATATATTTGTATATATTCTTATTTGATAAGACTTAGTTGTACATTTATGGTAAAGCCTTCACTTCAACAGTAAGCAGCTGAAAAATGTGGGAAGCAATGGTTAAAAAACATGCAAACTGATAAAAGTTAAGTAAGCCTATTTTCTTGCTTACAACTCCCTCTGAATAACAATGTCTATGTCATTTATAAAGGTAGCTCTCCTCTTAAAATCTGCATAGACAGGGGCAAAATTTAAAATGGTAGAAAACATATTGCTGAACTTAGAAATGACATAGGTCTGTATCTCCAAGATTTTCAGGTTTTATTTGTTGAGTGCTGAGGCATTTCAGAGGGAAGTTCCAGACTGGTAAAGAGTGGGTAGCCCCTGGTTTACTCCGACATTGTCAGGCTCAGCCGCCGTACAGTAGATGAAGCTCTCCTGCAGTTCCAGCTTTGCCAGGAACTGAAACAAAAGCGGGGAGCCATAAAACTTTCAACATCATTCAAAGTCTTCTCTCCCATGCATGCTTACGCCATGTGACAGATACAAAACAACAAGAGAATGTCGGTCCAGGAAGCACGCATCAGGAAAGCTTTTTCTGGGAATAACGAGATAAAGGGTGGAAAACTCTTGTGGGAGACTCTAATGTTTGGGCTGACACTTTTCACTGTCACCAATTGTCTCCTGTAGGGCATCCAGTAAAGTCATACTATTGTTTATGTTTCCTCCTTACGAACGTTTGAACCGATAATGAACAACAAAAAAAACACGTCAATGAAAGAATCAGTACTCATTCTGCCTTTATAGTGGATCTTTTCTGAACAAATTAAACTTAATTTGGACCTATTTAGATATCTTAAGAGCGTTCCCTGATCTTTGTCTACAAATAGATTAATACTGGAACACAGTGCATATTCCTCACCCGCAGAAGCGGGTCTTTAGACTTTAGTCTGCTCGTTTGTGTTGTATTACTCTATATCTCTTCAGCTGCTCATTGGTTTGTGAGTTCTTTAGAATGCGGGTGTACTTTTTTTCCGCTCCTGCACCACACAACTGTAAAGCAAGTCTCAAAAATGATGTGACCATGTGTTGAACTGTTTAAGTGCTAAGCAGTGGATTTGATGAATTACAAGCCAGTTAGTTCATATTGCTGACAGAATGCTAATTTATTTATGACCTGAGACTGAGAGAAAATGAAATCATCATATATTTCCAAACTCTGGTGCAGTGTTTTAGATTAGGGGAATCTATTTGGGATGGAAACACATTCTATGAATAAATTGTTTGAGCTCCCCTTCGAAACAAGTGTATGCTCCAGCATTCCCTGGACTGCTTTCAAGAGTCAAGCTCTTGAACCTGCAAAAGAATGTGAAGAATTTGCATGAAAGAAAATCTTAATCTCAGGGAACGATGGGACACCCTTGATTCCTCGGAGTCTGGAGTACCATACTTTCATTCCAAAACACAAAATCAACTTTAATTTTAGAGTGTCTGCTTTTGATTTATAGTCGTGGATTAAAATGCTGCCCATTTCATTTGATTTGGTGGTTATCTCATTTTACATTTTCATCAAATCATATTCTCGGGCCATATCTGTAAAATTGAGAAATCATCAGAGCTGAAGTGGCGGGATATTGGAAGTTCAGCTTCATCAGCAGTCTGTGCTGCTGAAATGAGAGACCTTCATCCACCCCCCCAACACCCTGCAACCCTTCCCCCCACCGTCTTCCTCTCTGTTTTTTAAAACTATCCGTCTCTCCCACTCATTTGGCTCCGTTCTTCCCTCCACATGTGATGAGATTGCTTGGTATATCTGCACTTGTGTGAAATCATTTAATTAAACAAAGAGGGATATGCATTATATATCTGGATCATAACATTTTACTTGGAGACTAAAAGCTTCAGCAGATACAATAATCAGGAGCCGTGCTACTAATGTAGGGGTAATGATGGCCCATACTGGGCCCAAAGATAAAATACCCTTTAAGGGTGGAGGACTTTGTCACCTATATTCATTATTATCCACTAAATGTTTTAAAGACCCACTAGGGATGTTGTGATATTAAAGTAAGATGCATTATCTTGACACCACTGCAACATTTTTAGCTTTTAATTAATATCCCAACCCTCATATCAATAATGTTTAATTAAATTGATACACTATTGATAATCATACAGTTATTTTGCATGTAATTAATAGCAAAAATGCTGCAACACGCAAATCTGCATCTCAATTTCATTCTCAGTGGACTGCATCCTCATAAGTGCTTTTCAACGTAACATGCAATCTGCTGATGGCTTATTAAGACCTTTACAGTCATCTAATCTAAGGCTGTGGTCAATTATATCTCTCTGGAGTAGCGTTGCGATTTAATTTGATAGAAACCAAACAACAGGCTGTGAAGCTGTGGTCATGATGGAAGTTGATACACCCTCTCTCTCCTGCTCCTGAAGCCTGGGCTGGAGGCAGCCAGTCGCCGCCTGTGCGGCATCCCCCTCATGGGACCTCCTGCGATGTTTGTAAACAATAAATAATATTAATTTCATGCCGGACACCTTCTTACGATCGATACGCATCGACCGGGAGAATCAGTTGTCTTTATGGGTTGCATATGTTGGGCGAGTAATTGTGAAGTTTATGCGAGAGCACTCAGGAGCTCAAAACAAACACACTCCAGCCACATCATGCGTTCACTTGTCAGATCATTGAATGTGGTCTCTTTGGATCCCAGCTGCTGTGACTCATTCCAGACACACACACACAAAGAAAGAAAAAAAAAAATTAAGGTTCCATCTAGGTTTTGCGATTGATTGCAGGAGACCAAGCGTTGCTTCAAGTCTCAGGATATTGTAACTCAAGCCAGTGACGGAGGGAAAATTAATTACAACGCCACAGATCGATGAACAACTGAATGTGTCAACTCCCAAAAGAGCTGTGATTGCTCATTGCAGCCTGATTGAGGAAGCAGAGGAGGAGGGTGCTTTGACCACAGGACTGAGGATGAGGCCCTGCTCCTATTCACTAAACACTCCCCATAGAAAGAAAACACTCCCTGTAAGAGGATAACATAACCGTATATTTACATATTCTCAGATCCCCCCGTTTGAAATGCATGTAGCTTGAGTGCTGGTTCTAAAAAAGAGGCAGATTCAGTGACTGGAGCAGAGTCTCTCCATCTTGCCTGCCTGATAGAACTCAAAGCAGATTAGCACTATGAGGGAGAGAGATCATTCCGACCAAGCTCACAAGTGACCGAGGCTGAGTCACTCCCTCCCATTTTGCCTCGCATCTGCCTTTCTTACTCCTTCACATGCACCATGCCTGTGAGGATGTGATTGTGAGGCGGATGGCTGCGAGGCTGAGCGTCTCGGGCGTGTGCGTACATGTCTCTGTCATTCTGACTGCGACTTTGACCTTTACGCCGGACAGGGAGGGAGCTTAATGAGTTTGTAGGCTGCAATAGCTGAGCTCTATCGAAGGAATCATCCATCTACATGAGCCCCATAATTAGCTGGTAAGACAGTGGTCCAGCTCTGTGCTTCTACTTATTATTCTGCTGACTCTATGTGGGAGTGGAGAAATGGATAAACAAAGACACAACCCTCCCCCCTTTTTTTTCCTTTTTTTTTTTTTTTAAAGTGGATTAATAATCTGCTGTCGATTTCTGGGCAGTGTGGTAAAAAAACATGGACCAACAGCCTGATAATCGCTGCACAGGCTCCCAAAGAAAATGGGGACAATCTACCTGGAGTCCAAGTCACGTCCAGGTCTGGCTTGGCTGAAAGGTGTGCCAATCCCCACGCCTCTTCCCTCTGTGTTTGTCCGCAGTAGACACACAACCCCCTGCCCCAAAAAACAACAAAAACAAACTGAAACTCAATGACATGCAGATGCGATTTGTCTGATTCTGTATGCAAAGCAGTGATGTGTCTCCTTCCATGCAGGACTGAATGGCATATCCATCATTTTCATGCAAGGCAGAGGACATGGAAAAGCACACTTTGCGAGAGTACGGGTGGAATAAACCCATTCTTCATGCGTGGTCTGTGTGTTGGTATTTGTGCTCACTGGTGATATGGAAATCTCTCGGTGGTGCGTTCACAGGACGCTCCGCTCCGGGTCAGCCAGCCATCCGGATCCGCTCCTGGTTTTGCTCCTCCTGCTTATCGCAGCCCGTACCTTCTCTGACTCTCAGCACTCCAGCATTGCTGTGCAAGCAGATGTTCTGTCCCCCTCCGATGCCAATTCTTCCCCGTTTTCGCATTCGGCGAAGCTTTTTTTTTCTGCAAAGTAAGAAAGGGGGAAAAACAGCAGCAACAACTGCCTCCCTCTCCGGCCCAGAGACAGAGAGGGGGGAAAGCTGTGCTCGGATATAGCGGCTTTTTTTTTTTGGACAGATACAGTGAGAGTCTACAGTAGAGCCGCGGCGGCGTGCGTGCGTGCGTGCGTGCCCACCACACCTGTGATGCGTTGTTCTGAGCAACGGAGACGCGCGAGCGGGATGCTGACGGCCACGGCGCGGCGGGAGGAAGCGTGCTGAGGAGAAGAAAAAAACAAACAGTTGGGCGTTGGGAGAAGAAATAAAAAGAAGAAAAACGGCGTTAAGTGCACCAGAGGACAATCTCCAAAACCCGACCAAAAAGCTCCGCGCGCGCCACAGTTCAGGTCTCAGCTCCTCTGCCTTTTAGAAAAACTTGGGTGATTAAAAAAAAGCACGAAGATGCCCTCGGCCCCGGGCCCCTTTGTCCGCCGCAGGTTCCGCGCGGAGCTCCTCGCGCTCTGGCTCGCGCTGGCCGGCTTCACGTGCACAGGTGGTGAGTTAAATCTACGGATACTCTTATTTTCTTTTTTTTTTTTTTTTTTTTTAGTTAACTGTGTTGTCGGGTTGCCGGTTGGCGGAAGAGAATAGTAAACACGGAGGGGGAAAAAAAAAACTGCCAGCGTCAAGTTATTTGCTCTTTTTTCCTTCCATGTGGAAATGCGGGAGCGCGTGACGGAGCACGTTGGCAGCCGTTATTGTTCCATAATTTGCTAGCCGTGTTTCTCCTCAATTAGCCTGCGCCCGCAAGGTTACAGGGAGGAATCTATATCTTATGCCAATGTGAAAACTTGAATAGTTTAGAAATAAAAGAATATCAGTGATATATCCAATAAACACTTTTTTTGTTGTTGTTGGGAGCATTTTTTTTCTCTCTCTCCTGATCTCCCTTCTGCCGTGACCGCAAGTTAGGTCTGCACCTGCTTTGTGAGGCGCAAATGTGCGGTACAACGGGCTGTTTCAGCAGAAGGGGGGTCCAGGACAATAGAAAAGCAGTGCTTCCTTCAGACTGTCTGATAAACAACCTTCAGCATCACCTCCCGGACAGTAAAAGTTGGATGTGTGGAGGCGCATTTAGCGCATTTTCATCCGTCTGACCGGGCTCCTAACGAACGGGATCATTTCCCTGCACCTTCCTGCCCGGCCAGGACTCATTCCTGCTGCATTCGCAGTACGGTGACAGCTTTACTGAGTTGGTAGACGACCTACTCGCGCTGATGAGTTACATTTTATGATGGAGCCCCGGCCCTGTTGGCGAGACTCTCCCGGTTGCATGCAAATGGGCTCTGATGTTGAAAACAATCCCTGGTGCTGAGGTGAGCCCGGAGAGAAGTTTGTCCCACTGTAGATACACAAGACAGTTACCCAAATGCATGATCAGAAAGTATTCTCTCTTAAAATTAGTGGAAAACCCACTTTCAACCAGAAGTTCAGCTGATTGAAAAGTAACATCTAGTCAACCTGAAGGTTTTCTGGTCATTATTTTGAAAAAGAAAAATCAGTTTTCAGATCAATGCAGTCAATTTCACAGTTTATAATGAGGCACAGTTTCTCTGCTCGCCGCTGAACATTTCAATAACACTAACTACACATGATGTCTGATGCTAAATGTCCTCACAATGCTGCACAGCTGGACGTTAGTGGCTGGCGTCCTCTATGCAAGAATCCCCCCACGTCGTTTGCCTTGTGTTGTTTCCAACTGGTTGACTTTGCTTCAGACAGAAGGCAAACATGTTAAAGTTAGTGTAATTGTGTATCTTGCTTCAGGACGCTGAGATGATGAATTAAGTGGGCCTTTCGCTTGCATTAATTAGTGTATAATTATGAATATATTACGATTAAATAAACAGTCATGCTCGGGGGACCTTGTATATCAAACAAAGTAAGTGGCACGGTGGTGATATTTACAGGTCATTTCTGTGATGCATGTTGGAATTGATGTGTCTTGATCGGGTTGCTTGGTTGGGCGTTTCATTTTGATGGTGAGGTCATGTTTTCCAGACGTCTTCCGTTGTTTTGTTTTCCCACTGACTCAAAAACTGCACATGTAGGTAGACCATTAAAATGTGAAATTCCCAAAGGTGTTATATTAGTGCTTTGTTCCGTTGGTGATGGACTGGAGCACTCTGCACCGGTGCTTTTCCTGTGACCCTGTGTTTGCTGGGATAGGCTCACAGTCCTGCCTTGACCCCAAATAGAATAAATGAAATAATGAAAAAGATGAATATGGGGCACATGGTTGAGATTCTGTTGGCGTCCTCTCTGTCTTATGTCTCGGTATTTCTTTCAGTCCCTTTCAGTCCCTTTCTTGTTTTATTTGGCCAGTACAAGCATCTTTAAAGCATCCCATCACAGCTTAGAGAGTACTTTTATTGGACAAAGTGAGTTGCAGAAATGGATTGGAAGGTAATTTGGGAGCCAATTCTTTCTGCATCAGGATTGGGACGGCCTCGTCTGAGATCAGTCAAGCCATCCTCTGTGGGGAGGCGCGCTGCTGACTCGGCATTTGTCTGTATCAAAGCTGCTTTTTTTCTTTCCCTTTTTTTCAGGGAAACATAACTCAGTCAGTAATAAAGGTAGCGCTGTCAATTTAGGTTTGAGCTGGCTGAGCACTTTCCCTTTCACCATTTTTGTGAGTGATCCGACGGGCCGGTCAGAACGGTGCCCGTTCAGCTTTGAGCTTCCGGAACAAAGAACTGTTCTGCCCTGCCCGCGTGTGCACACCACTTGATGTTTTCAGCATGCAAAGAGCATTTGTGTGCGCATCGAAGGGTGTTTCCACCAAGATTTGCACACGTGCATTTGCTGTGTGTGCAGGTGTGTTTGGTGTGTGTCCTGTTGCTTCTGTTGTTTTCCATTTGTTTAAACTTTGGTCTGTTTCTTTTTCTTTGTCTTCTCCTTCAGAAAAGATCAAAACTGAACTATCTGAGCAGAGAAAATAAAAATTCATCCTTTTTGTGTTTGTTTGCTCTTGCCTTAGCCCATTGAGAGCGTTGCCAAGCAATTGTTGTCTGGTTCATTTAGGGAACATGGGATTTGGTATCAGGCGCCTTTCTACCCGTGTGAACAGCCACCTCAGAGTAATCTGGTGATGATGCAAGGAGGTGGCCATTAAATGACAAGAAGCAATGCAAGTTCCTGTTTCTTCTTACAGTATATGAGTGATGCTTTTGCTAGACTTCTCTCATCATTCTATTGTGAATCATCCCAGAGTTGTCTTTCTCACAGCCATTTTTGTCTCTTCTCAATGACTCACTAAAGAATGCGATAAGGGGACCAAAAGCCAAAATTAACATAATTTATTGGGGGAAAATTGCCTTCCGGTCAAAGGAATTTAAAATCACTTCATTTTCTTCTCATAGCTAATGCATGGGAAATGATCGCCATGTATTTGCGGGGATAAGGTCTTTTACAGAAGAATGATAATTTACATCCAGAGAGAGTCTCTGTTCCCTCTAGTCATTGGAGATGAATTCAAATAACACAGGGAACGAGCAGACTTGCATAGTGGAGGAAGCAAGTTATGCTTAAAACTATTTAGTTCCTCATCTGCTGGTATTCAAACAGTAAATTTGCATGATGTACAAATGCAGAATGCATCATGTAAGGAGGCAATTACCCCGCACGCACGCACACACACACACACACACGCACAGCCGCACACTCAAAAGAAGGCGTAGAAAATTCTTGTTAGGAATTTTATGCTTGCTTACATATTTTGAAATGGACAGCGGCACCATGACAGAGTTGAGTTGCTTATTTGCAGGACACAGTTAATCAAATTTTTGCATTTTTATATCCTTATTGCAAAGCAAACCCATGAATTGAGTTAATCTATTTCCTGTCCAATCCTCGCAAAGTAATTTCCTCTATTTGTGTAGCGTGATTAATGAAGGCAGAGATAATAGTTCAGAATAAACGAACAATAGGTAAACAGTGCACGTCAGCGCGGGTCAGCTCTAAACAGCGGAGCAGCACGCCGCGTCTGGTGACAAATACCCCGCCGCCTTATCTTCCACAAGGCCACATACCTGCACTTATCATTTGCAAATGGCCGTCTTGAAAAGTAAAGGAAGGACACGGGCTTTGCTGAGGACGTAGGGAGGATGAACCTTGCGGCGGGGAGGAGTTAGGTGTTATTTTCTGCAGTCTGTGCACAGGCTCTGCGAAGGCACTAAATCTCTGTCATACTCTGCCCTTTTGTTTCAATTACCCCATTTCTGTGATTCGGGCCCGTGTGGAAGCGCTCAGAGGCTGAGGTACGGCTCCACGCCTCAAATGCAGCACATCGCACCCACAGTTCGGGCGTTTTAGTTTGATTCCATAAAACTGGCCGCTGTTTTGGGGTGAGATTACCCTATCCCCCGCTTCATGGAAGGTTACGGTGACTGGGGGGAGCGGCCTCGGCCTCTGCTGGTGTGTTTTTGCCCGCCGCTGACCATCTGGTTGAAAGGTCAGCGTTGAGAAGTTGGGGTGAGCTGGACGAGCTGAGGTCCCAGTCTTCCGCTGGAGGGTTTAATCGAATGTTCTCTTTCAAGGGTCTTCTCTCTCCTTCTCACTTACACTGTCATGGTGACAAAAACAACACGCAGAGAGCTGACATTCAGCCTTGGATACCGGGGGGGGTTTTTCTTCCATTGGAAAAAAAAAAGAAAAGAAAAGCAAAACAAAGGACATGTGAAAGTTAATGTTGAATCCTCAAGGTCAGTCTGAGTATAAATGCTGGCGTGTACTTTTCTCTCCCAGATTCTTTTTTCTTATTTTCTTTTTTGGTTTTGACGGGTTTCATTTCAACACCACATGAGAATAGACTCGAGCGGAGCATAGGTGGCATGTAACTGCTGCATGTGTCATCCGTACCAGCTGTCAGCTGTGCAGGGAACCTGAAGGGGTCTTCACAAAAAGGAATTAGACAAAATAGTTTCCATGTCGACTCGTGGAATCGGATTATTTTTAAGTGTTCCTAATGATACTAGAAGCCCTCTTTAGTGATGAGATGCTATCATTACTTATCTTGTGCTTTAAACAGGTAGATTTTTCTTATTTAAAAAAAAAAAAAGATTATTGAGCTGCCCAAAGCGATTTCCCTTCCCAAGGACCACCGTAGGGAGAAGAAACGCAGGGGGCCATGACGGTGTGGGCGCCGAGTGACATGCGTCAAAACGTATTTAATTAAAGAATGGCCTGGAGAGTCGTTATCGAGTGATAATGTTTTTTGCCTCTTTTTTTTATGAAAGACACTCTGTCTGGCTGCTCACATTGTACAGTAAGAATGGTGGCGTGTAAGGAGATGTTTTCAGGTCCTTCCCGTTCTCCAAGTGATCAATACTCTTCTCCAAATGGTTAATTGGCCATCAGTCACTGTCAGAGGAAGTGCTTAGAAGCCCAGAGGTGTCGTGGTGCAGCTCATAATAAGAGGCGGTCCAGTCCTCTGGGCCCTCTCTTGGCCTTTACTTCAGGCCAGGTGGTGGCTGGGGAGGGCAGATCTGAATGCAA